TCCAGGTTTAACCTTTTTAACATCAATTCAACCATTTCGTGTATAGTAAACGTGGACTAAGATCGTTTTATCTATAATGCATACATTACAAGATATTGCTTCCCTAAGCCATGCTTTGTCCACTTTATTGTAATCGCATCCCCGCTGTACTATGAACGCGTTTCTTGGCAGACGAATACTGTGCCAGTTGTTTAGTACTGGAACAAGATAAATTCTCGTCCATTGCTTTGTATTATCACAACACTAGTCCTTCATTCTCTGTAGTTTGACAAATAGAAACCAAGACCGCAGCTTACTACTTGTAGACTCCTTTCCTGTGACGTCAACTTTGTTTATCAATTACCGATTGCAACTTTCAATGACCAGTTCAAATTATTCATTTATCAATACAATCAGTTGTTCTTTTTCTAGCTTTACTTCAATTATAACTCAATTTCATCTGTATCTGCTATTGGACTCAGGTTTAATTAATCAAACTTCGTTTCAGAAACTTACATTTAAAGTTTGTGAATACACATTTCTATGGATTTACCGAAGTTGTTTAACGTTATTTAAATCAATTATAAATAAATTCAAAAATTGTCGAACAGTATTTTTATAAATATTTAATGTTATATAAGAACCAGTTGCGTAACATCAACAATTAACGAGCTAAGAGAATAATGGACACTAACAGGATTTGAAACTCGCGTGATACGATCAATAATCTCGATGGTGTGCTTTTCCACCCTAGGCAGATTTATTTCCAATTAGAAGTTCGCGACGGTTTGCGCCACGTGAAAATGCTTTCTCGTATGAGTGACAAGTTCCTAAAGGTTATCCAGTGTTTTGGTGGTAAAGCCAGTGGCCCGTTTCGGTCACGGCACCGCGTGCAACCGAAACTCGGGCACGAAGGTATTCCGTGGCGTCGAGCGCGCATACGTACACCAGCAAATTCCCCTGGCCGCTGGATCGTTGCCAGACCCGACGAGGCAAGTGAAACCAATCTGCTGGATTTAAGTCACTCCCGTGTCTCGGTTATGGAGGCTGGAACCGCGCGAACATCACGCGCTTGAAAATTAATTCTCCGAAGGTTTCTCTTTTTTCGCGACAATCCTTCGCTCGACATTACAATATTACATGGCTGGGAAACTCGTAGATTAATCACTCGCGATTGTTTTTCGCTTCCTAACGCGTATAATTTCAATGAAAAATTCCTCGATTCCATCAAACATTCTGCAATGCGTAAATGATATTTACGCAAACACACATTTTCAAAGCTTCTTGTACTTATCAAACATTTTATTAAATCCTCCATTATTTCAAATATAAACGGAATACTACACTGAATTATATGAAAATCATTATCTTCGTAAATACACACTTTTTTGTGCACTTCGTGCTACCAAAAGCGTATAAAGATCCATAATTAAAGAATAATGTTCCATACAAGATTCTCAGAGTATATTAATCTATTCATGACCAATCAGCAACAGTAAAAAGGAATATACAAAGCGCAACTTAAGTCAGAAGAACGAATAAATACTAGTAACAAAAATGAAACAAATAACAAGCGGAAGAGAACTGGCTGCGCAACAACAGTTAAAGTACGGCTGAAAACATTTCGAAACGGTTTCAATCGAACAAGGGGAGGGGGGGGTCTCCTTCTTTCCCCGTACGTACGCGATACTTGCAGTTAGAAAAACTTCTTGCCCAACTGTTTCCCGTGGGTAATTTTCTGCGGTAAATTAGCGTGGCAGGGTGAGCGTCGCGATTTCTCGCTTCCGTTCTCCGTCTCCGTCCCCGGCGATCCTTTTTCCTGCACGTTCTTTCGACCAGACCGCGCCTCACCCTTCCGGAACCTCTCGCCAAAGATAACATCCGCGAGATTCGCTGCTTTTCTTTTCTACGCTTCGGTCAGTACAAAACTTAAAAAATTTGAAAGGACTGTGTTGTCGGCAGGGAGGAGAAGGCGTTAGAAGAGTATAATAGCATTGTCCAATGACGATATTTTTGGAACGATGTATGTAACCAGTAGAATATCATATATTTAATTAATTTGTTTATTGTTTCTGTTTTTCTGAATGAAGAAGCAAAATAAGGAATCCATAATTTGAAGCGTGTGTAATGTTTAGTTTTGTCCCCTAATAAATTTAACCAAGTATCATCCGCTCACGATCTGATGGGTAGTGGGGTAGCGGCAAGTGGAGTTGCTCGCTATAATTTAGTTTCTTTGTCATATTGATTGGTTACATATAACCGTATTGAATAACAAAAAAAACCGACAATTACGCTCGCATTCCTCAGCCTAGCGATGAAGGTATGCGCATTGTTCAAGAGATGGCTAGCGGGAGGAATGCAGATGTAAGTGGTTAGAATGGATGTAGCCACACCCATGGTCTCGCATTTTCAGCTGAGTCCGATTTGGTGAAAAGGTCACACATATTACTTTCATCGTGTAACGCAAAGCACAGAATCAAAGACACCTACTTGCCCCCTGTTTCATTTCGCTCGCCATCTCTTGAGCAACACATGTTACCGAGAAATTTTTCAGTGTCGCATGGAGGCACGCGTGCACTCGGTAATCGATGCTGAAACTTAAATCAGTTCGCCGAGTTCCGCGAGGCAAATCGACCGGCGACACGGCGGATGAAGTATTAATGTTCTTTCTCAGATATATGGGCTAGGTCGCCCGTAGGGGATGAGGACACGGGAATGGGGATGGGGCGGCGCTCGCTAGGTTATTGGATTTCGATACTCGACGCCGTATTATTCCCCGGCCGCTTCGCTCCTGCGAATTTGTCGGCTGCTTTGGAAAATTTCCGTGCCGGCTACGGCACCTTGCGAAACTTTCATCCCCTTGACTCGCTGTCTTTGCATGATATGGCGGACGTTAAGTTATTTGCTCTTGTGAATGTGGAGGATATACGTAAATTTCGTAATATGTGATTCAGTTATTTTGTAATTGATTTAGTTTTGTTTTAGAAATACTTTTTTTTTAGCAGTGAATCAAGTATTATATTAGAAATCAACATATTATCAACCAATGGAGCAGATCTTTCTTCTCTCCCGACAATGTGTTGCCTGTTGATTTCTTAACTTTCCTTTTTCTTTTTCCCTTCTTATTTTCATTAAAGTCAAGTTGTAAAAATTAAATAATCGTCGCTATTGAATTATATTCAGCATATATTTATAGAAAACAGAAAATCATTCTTATTAATATACTATTCTTTTACTTCGTTGACGAAACACTTCGTCCGAATTTTTCCGCATGATCAAATTCGCTCATGACTATCGCAATCGTCTAATACCGTCTCGTTGGAAGTTCGATCTTCGGAGCATGGAAATGGTCGGGCATTCAGGAGGGGCAACGATTCTCCGAGAATTCTCCCGCATATTGAAATCGGAGCTGATCTCAACGTTTGACGAAGCCCGATAGCGGCGCGCCCTTTATTCCCCGTTTGTGGGACTCAGCTTTAACAGTCGGCACGGAACTACCCTCGACAGTCTGCGCGCCGTTTGTTTGCACACTGTAACTCGTCCTACCTTGACGTTCCGGCAGCACGCTTTCGCCCATTGGGATCTGTCTGCATCCTACGCCTCGGTTCTCCAACCTCGTTTCGCCGTATCGGGAAACTTCGAGCAACGCTTCCCAGCTGAGCGTCGTTAGCAGCAATTAGGCCGACGTCGGGGCACTTAATAATGAGACAACGAACAGGGGATCGTTCGAGTCGTCACGGGTTGAGGAACTAAATGTTGTGCGGTATTATTCTTTGATCATTCTATACATGTAATTTAATTTGACCTTTAAAATCAATTTAAACTTCGAATTAAATTCTCGACTATGATATAGAACTTACTCAATGATTTTCAACCTTTTCATCGTGGATAAAATATTGTTGCATTTCAATTTAATATTCTAGTAAATTCTGCTGTTATATGGTTGGAACATAAACAACTTGATTAGAATTGTTCGATTTCAAATCTTGCTAAGGCTAAGTTTTTCAAAGTTACGGGTGTAATAGTTTTATGAATAATTTTAAAAAACTGTACGGAATAGGTATGTCAGGCCAATAGCGAAAGTAGGTACCAGCCGTTCCGTTAAGAAATTCCATCAATTTTTCTGTCGCGGTGAGACCGCCCAGCCATCGATCCCGCCGCGCGCAATCATCCACCGATCGCTCTACGTATCGGGCATTATTCATCGTTCAAGTAACCCACGCTTGTCGATCGTTCGAAAAAGCTATGTACAATGTATCCTGTACGCCTAAACAGCCATGTAAATTCTATTGTCCGGTGACTCGACGCGACATTCAATTCTCACTTCAGCGTCGATTCACACCTCATTCCTCTCAGGTATTAAATTAACCCTACAAGCATCCAGCATCGACGAACTAAACGATCGAACCACGGAAGTTTTTTTGGAAAAGAAAGAAAGCAACTCGCGTAATGATAGATCGAATCCAGCGATCAGTCTAGCAATTCCATGGAACCTCTCCTCCGCTCGAATTTCGAGGATTCATTAAAAGCCAGGAGCAGAGTGTTTAGAACGTTACCATTCACCGCGAAACGGGATATATCAACGTTATCGTTGTGTCAAAGGGCGCTTTCCCTCTTCCTCTCCTTCTTATCCGTGTTTTCCGTGGTCCGGGAAAAGGCTGCGATCGTGAATGATTTAGCTCGCATAAATACCGGCCGAAATACCTGTTAGCGGCAGCGTGTAATTACAGTTGCGGAGTGCGGTCGTATTGGCACACGGGTTAGCCGAGGTGTGCGGTGAACGCAAACCGGTGCGAGCCTCGTCCTCCCCGGTCCGAGAGTCGTCGAGCGCGTGCACGTGTTTCCCCGTCCGTCCATCCGTCTGTCTGCACGTCCGTTCGTACACGCGTGTGTATACGTGCACACCTGAGGGCACAGGTATATCCGGTAACCAGCGACCAGTGGGAATCTCCATATGCTGGAATCCGTCAACGCGCTCCCAGGCGTTGCCGCTGCCACCGCCGCCGCCACGGCTGCTGTTGCTGCTGTTGCAGTTGCTTCTTCGTTGAAGGAGCTCTGATAGATTAGATCGTTATCGGCCTGGAATGCAAACGACGCGCGTGTCATTCCGTATCCCCCGACACCGTTGATTCATTGGTTATTCCGCGGGTGTTCGCCGTCTCGAGCTTCGCCCGTTTAGGCGAGTACCGCCGCAGGCATTCCGTCCAGGGTATTTCGCGAATTCGCGCGAACGATGAACTTATGGACTTCGCTGCACCGGGGTCTTCGTACATCCTGGACACGCTAGTCTTTAATCCCTCGGATTTGATATGCAATTAGGAACAGATGCTAGATGCTGTTCCGATGATCACAAATCGACTAGGTTTACGGAGAGCGTCAGTTTGACGCGTATTAAATTTCATGAACATTATTTAGTAAATGTTCACGTCGATATTGGTTGACGCCATTATACAAACGTGTACGTGAATCGTTTCTTTTTAAACCTCCAATTTCTGAGCTCCGAATAAACGAACATCAAATTTTCTAGAAACGGCAGATTAAACTGTACAATAAATGCCCGTACGCCTAGTGTTAGTGACATTACAGAATATTTCTGGTTAGTATATTTTCTTAAGGATATATTTGATTCGGATTATCCAGAAATTTTCTTGTAAAGGTAATTTGAACTTTCAACCGTCAGGATATCTTTTCACAGACAAGAATATATCCGTCCTTATTAATCATCAAACACTAAAACTTGTTAATAAAGAATGTAAGACCTCTTCGAAACTTGTTCACCAGTCGGTTGTCTGTCGAACTCCGGCTATCTTTGGCGTTCGTCTGGTCGAGATTTCGTATCGAGCAGATCCGGTTGAGCTGGCTAAATATTCCGTCGGTGAGCGATAGATCTTGAACGAGCGTACGCAAACGTTGACGGGTTAGAGGGCGCGGCAGCGGGGCATGAAAGCGGCGCGCGCCGGGATCTTCCGGTGGGCAATTTTCCTGCGGGTTAGCATTATCAGCGAGGTAATTACCCGTTCGCTACCGTTACCGGATACTCGTCGAGCCGCAGCCTCGCCGAGCCACGGAATCGCGGTTGGCAAAAATTACTGGTCAATTAGCGGCTCGGTTCTCCCCCTTCTTCTCCCACCCTTCTTTTTTTCTCTTTTGTCCCTCGTTCTCCTCCGTTTCGCCTCGAATTGCGTGCTAAAGGATATCCAGAGTTGTCTACGCGGCTGCACCGAACGCGATTATGAGGGAGAAAAAAGCGATGCTGGAACTCGTTGCACTCGTCTTCGCGCCCCCGCCCCCTCGCGCCCCCTTTCAACCAGCCGCAGCCGTCCGAGTCGGTTCATTAAAATTAATCAATGGTAATTTTACGCTTTTGGTTAACGAGCCTCTATTTAATGAATACTCACTCCGCAGCCTGGAACGATCGATTTCGATCGAATCCGTAGCGCGTGCAATGGTTTGCGGCGCTCTCGGGGAAACTCGAGCGACCAGACGGCGATATTTTATATGCGATAGCAATACGCGTCCGGCGAGTCAGTGTCGCGCGACGTTAAATTGAATTTGGCAAGCGCATCCGTGATTTTTATGGAGCTCGATCGAACTTGGGATATCTATTTATATATTCGACTTTCATCACATTAGCTGTTACTACGAAGTATCTGATCGCTTGTACTAATGAGGGTTTAGAAACGTAAAGAAGATTCGATACACCAGTTTATACCATTGGATAACCGATGCTTTATTAATTAAGTTTCTATATTAAGAATTCAATTTCATAGTGCGGAAAGAATGAATTATTCTCGCTGATAATTTCACTAAGGACGTATGAATATATGGAAAGATTATCACAGATGAAACAGGCCCAATTGATCTTAACATTTTTTAGGAACTACCTTAGAAACGGATAACTTCAGCTAAATAGAAAACGAAGCATTCATTCACCTTGCATCAAAGACAAGAACAGTCGCTTAAGAGCAAAACAAACTATATTATTATCAGCGATGTTCCGTGTAGAATGGTACTACAGTGGACATTGGATAATTGCAACACAGGGTACCTCTTCATAATTTAACACGTCATAGCATTTGACAGCCGACCGTGGTTAAGGGGTGTAACATGATCCGACTATTATCGAAATCGACGATTTCAACGTCCTTTTCTTTTCTATTCGCAGTCCTTTTTGAAATCCGGAATTTTAATGGCTTAGTAAACAAGCAATCATGATCGCAATTTTATCGTGTTTAGTGTCATTTTAATCAAATAAACGACAAATGCAGCGGTCAAAGTTTCATTCATCGAAAGACAAAAATAAAGAAAGATTGATTTTTGAGTTAAAGGTTTCAAACTCATCGTGAGCCTTTAACATTGCCGAACGCTTCAACCCCCAGACTTTCTTTTTCCTTCACTCGCGTTGTCCTTTTCTACGTTTGCCATGCTAACGTCTTTGTTTCTTAGGCTGGATTCGATTCTATCTCTTCATAATTGCAACCTTCCGGTCCCGTTGAGTGTTGCAATTATCCAATGTTCACTGTACTCCAATACGAAGCGTATAACGCCATTGCTTGCTCCAGAACGCACGGTAAAAGTGCCTGGGAAATGCTCCATTAATCCTTTTCGCGATCGGCCTATCTCCGGGCAAAGGAAACAGAGGAACGTCGGTGTCGCCGTCGTCGCGGTGAACGACATAAAACAATAATCGCCGGTGCTCCGTCAAGATTTTCTTTCCGGCGAAGTTATCGCGGCTGAATCGAGAGAAGTTCCTCGTGGCGTGCGCGAGCCGAGGCAGAAAACGGGTCTTTGCGCGGTGGCGCAAAGTGGCGAGGAGAAAGCGACCTACTTTGCGGGCCGAGTAATTATAAGCCTTGAACCGAGTAAACGAGTCGTTGAGGCGGGTAGCGGCGTCGCGGCGGCGTCGGCGGCGGCCTCAGCAGCGTCGACGTCGACGCGACGTCGTTTAATCTCATATTCGATAATCTCGGCTGCCCGTCAACGGCCATCGGAGCCTGTCCGGGCGTTATCGTTTTGTTCTCGCCGTCCGACGCGTGCACGCGATACAATTTCGCGGCGGGCCCGCCGATTTATCGAGCAACCCGTGGATCGATTTGAAACGATCCACTGTGCGTCGTTTCGCCAGTTTTTGAAAAACTTGTTCCTTCTCTGCGAACGTAACAATATGTGTTTGAAACTTGAGGATGTCAGATCGGATTCTAAGTTGTAGGTAGACATGGAATACAACGAATCTCGTGTCACAGGAATCATGTGAGTCATGGGATCGAGATCTCACCTACGTGAAAGTTGAATGCGATATCGATATTGTGGGATGTTAGGTTGCTCGCCGTGATCGTCTCGACTGGAATTTAATATATTCGAGTGCTAATAACCTAGGTAACTAAACAATGCCGCCTACTTAGCGAATCTCCCACCACCTACTTACCCGATGCAGACAGCTTGGGAAACATCCGACGCGATTTGCCACGTTCAGGATCGGTAGCTGCACTGAGCAAGCTTCTGTATTCCATGATTCGATGAACCGCTTGTGCAGTGAGTCATCGCGGTGGTTTTACATCGTGATATTTCCTCTGTGCCGTATGTAATCGGATATATTTACTTGGATCGTTTCTTGTGTTAAAGTTAGTTGCAGTTGTAGAAACTTAATTACTGTAAATTACTTAAAAGTGTTTTGGTTCTTTTTTGAAATTTCCATGAGAGACAGCTTTTATGGTTTGGAAAGGTACCAAGGAACTGGTTTTCCTGAACTTTTGGGAATTTCCAAGGAATTCGGTGGTTTTCAAAAATCCCAGTGGAGAAGATGTTCTGAAGGGTTTCAAAGGTCCCCAAGGGACTTTTAAATGCACATAAAGCGGAACCACAGATTCCAACGGTGTCGAGAATCTAAAGAGAACTTAGGGTCCCACGACCTCGAAACCCTAAACTTTCAAGTCCTCTAGATTTCCAGGATCCCTAATACCGTCGAGACCGCACACCTGGAACCTCTGAGTCCTCCTAAAGTCACGATTAGTAACGTTCTAAGATACTCACTGTTTTTAGTTAAATAAAAAGATATAGTCTCCAACACGTCCGCTTTCCAGACATTTAGCCCAGAACTCAGAGAAACAATGAGCTTTTTATGAACGATAAAAGCACTTTCTTCTAAAACAACTACACAATGTATCTTCAGTAGCTTTAGAATGGCTTCCAGATTCATTATGCATTCAGCATCTATTACTCCCAACTATTTACGACTTCCGAACTTCCCGATTAGAATCGTCACAACTGAACTTCCTCGCGTTTACGCAGCATTCTCGTAAGTAAAATCTTGATTAAAACCTTTACGACTTCCAGAATTATCTACGAAAAGGAGAACTGTCTGTTCGCAGATCGACCTGATAAAATTTAACGATCGAACGATTCCCTAAGCCAAGCCAAAGCGACTAAAGGAATGGCACACGAGCCATTATCCTCAGGCGGGCGTGTTCGGCGGGTAACGCGACAGGGTGGGCCGAATTAAAAGTTAACCGACTATAAAACCGAGCTCGACGGCTATGAAGTATCAGCCGGGTTCAACGGCGTGTCCTTCCACGGTTAAACAACCGTGGAAAAGGTCGACGCTCGGCCGTGTTCCTGACCCGTAGGAGGTTGTCGCGGTTGTGCGAGGTCCGGCCCAGGGGTGCGTCACCCGGAACGACATGCTAAACCGGAAGGAAACGCCTTTCCCGACTCGGCTCTGGGGTAGGTTTCGGGCAACCGTCCGCTTGTTCTTACTTTAACGCGTCTGAGCTTACGCAAGCTCTTATCCCTATCCGCATACCCGACCTAACGAGCTAGCACATGCAGTAATTTATGCTCGAACGTGCACGCGCGTCCGTGTAAATTACGTCACGTCCCCCGCGAGAAAAGCGGGCAAGATTAGCTACGCCGACGCGCCGCCCTTAATCAGAGCTTGGAGTGCATTTTCAGAGCGGTCGAATTGAATGAAATTAAATTATATTCCGCGCGGGCCAGGCACGAAATAGTACGTGCGCCGCGTCGGCTACGCGCGATCCGACGCTCGTCAATCGCGCTCGATAATTGGTCATCGTCGGCCCGGACATTTGCGGACACTTCGACCCCCTAACTCGACGGTGCGTCGAGCCCACGGTGTACACACTTTTGTGTCTTGTCCACAGTGTGAACTTTCCGCGTATCGACTGTGCAGTGTTGCTTGTACATCGTGGAACTTCATTTACATTAATCAGCAACTTATTAATGAGGTAATAGCACAATTACCTTGTCAACTCGATAGAATAACTAAAAACTACTAGAACAGAGCACAAAAAATACGTTCTCGAGCTTCCTACCAAAAATTCTAAGCTCCTCTTATCATCTACTACACAGTTCACAACAAACTACCAGGAAACACCTGAATCCGAAAAATCAAATTTCCTCAACAAATATTCTTTCCGCGTATTACCCTTTTCAAGTAGCTCTCTTCCAACCAGCGCCACGCATCGTGGTAAAATCCCCGGCACCTATGGCAATAACGAAATAGCTGCGTTTAGGATGTGGTGTCGGGATCCATAAAAATTTGCACGTGTGTGGCGTCGAGGGCCATCGGAATCCGGATCCCCGTCACCGCGGGGCTCTCGATCGGCTGTCGGCCCGTTCGGAACTTTCCGCGGCCGATATCGTATCGCGTAAACCGAGCTTAAAGGTAACGCGTGTGTCTGTTGCGGCGGGCGGGTGCCTACCACCTAACCGTCCCCGTCGGCGTTCACCGTCAGCGTCTCCCCCCTCCGCGTCCCGTTCC